GGGGTGTGAACATCCAGGTGAAGGGGAGCTAGGTAAACGAATGCAACTAACAAATACTATTCATTACGGTCAAACGGTATCGCATATCAGCTCTGTGTGTCAGGCACTGGCCAGGTAAAACTCCGGACACTCATAAAATTGTTATTTACCTGTTCTGTTACCTTGGTGCCAAACCCATTCTTGACAGCCTAACGGTCGCTGTAATACTGTGTAACACGCATTGTGAAATTGTACAATCTTGATTATTGTGATGAGAAATTACAGATATATACACAGTGTACATTATCGCATACGAGCCTTCCGTATTTTTGTCATTCCGTAATATGGATATACAAATGATACCAAATCGGAAGCGCACAACGGGGCGAACGATTGCTAAATCGCAGTACAGTTGTGCGCACCATGTGTGGACGATGTGCGGACGGTGTGTGAACGATGTATGCACGGTGTGCGCACGCTATTTTTGGTCCGTTGTACGGTCCCACAACAGCAGTTTAGGTTTTAATTATATTTGGACTTGCCAATACATTGTATGTACAAAATGAAAATCTTTTTTTTTTTTTGCAAATGCTCGACGTGTTCATGATGTATTTATCCAAGAATTACGCAGTGCTTTTGATGCATCTTCCAAATGTTATTTGTACAAGCATCTTGTTGATACCTTTTGCGTCCAGATCTATCTGACTAAGCCCATTCATTTTAGGGTAAATAAGATATTGAGTCAATTTCGCATGCAAGCTCACAGTCTTAACATAGAATCTGGGCACTATATTAATATCCCAAGAGGTCAGAGAATACGTACAGTCTGCGATAAAAATGATGTCGAAGATGAAGTACATTTTGTACTTCTTTGTCCTGCATATTCTGATTTAAGAAAAACTTACATCAAACAGTATTATTATCAACATCCAAGTGTCTATAAACTAATTGAATTATTAACCTGTAAAAGTGTTTATTTGTTGCACGCCACTGCTAAAAGGAAAATTCTCCTCGCTCAGTAGTGATATTTGATCAAAATATTATTTGAAACTACTTTGTTATAAGTGTACATGTATAATAATAGTTATTCAATATTCGTTAATAGCGCGGTAAATAGTGCTTTAATGACATACCATGGTTCTTTCTGACTGTTTAAAGTTATGTAGTGTTTTCATTATGATGTCATTTTTTCATCACGTCACATATATACATGGAGTCACGTCACTCATGTAATTATATTGTTAAATACTGTCCTTTCAACAACTTCACGAAATATCATGCTGTAAAAATGTACGTGATATCATTCATACATGTCTGTAGGTATAAATATATTTGAATTGAATTGTCCTCCGCCATCTTGTACATTACATATGAATTTTGAATATCTTATTATATATCTTTGTAACCTATATGCTGTATTGCATTTGGATATAATAAAACTTAAAACTTGAAAACAAATAACTGGTACAAGTCCAAACTCATTCGAGAAAATGATAATTCACTGAAAATGCAAGAAATAACTGTATATTAATAACAATAACATTTGAAAATTGTAATGGTGTCATTTTTTATTAAAATATTTTATATATTCTATGCGTGGTGACCAGTTGGCAATGGGTCACAATGTTTTTTTGAAGAAAAAAATAATAAATGACCATATGTCCTTTATGAAAAAAAGACCCTGTGAAAATAATAAGACTGAGTCGGGACTGATTTTCAAAGCGACGGCATTTTTTTTAACAAACTACCGAAATATGGTTTTGTCTAAACATATGAATTCATATTTCGCCAAACCTAACATGGTCGTCAATCAAACACTCGTTAAATAAATGAATGCATTCATTTTTTTATCAAAGCAAGTTTCCTTTGACTTCAAAATCAACTTTATGTGCGTGCTTGTAAACTACGGGCTACAATGTACGTTGGGTGCGGACAACGTCCTGTGGATATGTGATTTACTGAGTTACAAGTGTACTATGACACGGGGACATGATAAAGCTGTGTCCCTAGTCGTGTCGTTAGATAAATTACAGAGAATATGTCACTTCCTACCTGTTCGACCACATCAGTTAGCATGCCCCTTGTGCTGTGTGGTCAGTGGTCAGGTGACCACTCGACCAAAACGAGGAACTATGACGTTACGGTGTATATGAGTAAGGATGCTATATATGAATTAATTCCACATGTTTACTGTCACTACAATATACAAGCACGTCTGGACCCAGGGAATCTAAACAAAAGCTTAAGGTAAGTACCATTTCAGGCCAGCTGTACAGGGCACAAAACCCCGGGGACTGAGGCACAGTGGGAATTGTATCTGACTCTTTGAGTAATTGACAGTGTATATCCAACCGTCACACGTATCTGACAGTGGGTATCCGACAGAAGTAACATTTATCTGATAGTGTGTACATGTATCCGACCGTAGGTATCTGACTGTGGGTAATTGTCAGTATGTATCCGACGGTCACATGTATCTGACAGTGGGTATCCGACAGAAATAACTTGTATGAACAGTGGGTATCTAACTGTTGGTCACTGACCGTTACACGTGACAGTGAGTTTCTGGCCGTTAAACGAATTTGACAGTGGGTATCCGAACGTTAAACGAATTTGACAGTGGGTATCCGAACGTTAAACGAATTTGACAGTGGGTATCCGAAAGTTAAACGCATTTGACCGTGGGTATCTGACTGTTGGTAATTGACAGTATGTATCTGACCGTAAAACGAAGTTGACAGTTGGTATCTTACTGTTTGTAATTGACAGTATGCATCTAACTGTTACACGTATTTGTCAGTGGGTATATGGCCGTTTAACGAATTCGACAGTGGGTATCTTACTGTTTGTAATTGACAGTATGCATATAGCTGTTACACAAAGACAGTGGGTATATGGCCGCTAAACGAATTTGGCAGTGGTTATCCGACCGTTACACGTGTTTGACAGTGGGTATCTGACTGTTGGTAATTGACAGTATGTATCTGACCGTTACATGAATTTGTCAGTTGGTATCTGGCAGTTAAACGAATTTGACAGTGGTTATCTGACTGTTGGTAATTGACAATATGTACATGTATCCGACCGTCGAACGTATTTGACAGTGGTCATCTGACTGTTAGTAATTGAAAGTATGTATCTGACCGCTTAACGAATTCAACAGTGGGTATCCGACCGTTAAACGCATTTGACAGTGTGTATCTTACTGTTTGTAATTGACAGTATGTATCTGACCGTCGAACGTATTTGACAGTGGTCATCTGACTGTTGATAATTTAAAGTATGTATCTGACTAATACACGAATTTGACAGTGGGTATCCGACCGTTAAACGCATTTGGCAGTGGGTATCTTACTGTTTGTAATTAACAGGATGTATCTGACCGTCGAACGTATTTGACAGTGGTCATCTGACTGTTGATAATTTAAAGTATGTATCTGACTAATAAACGAATTTGACAGTGGGTATCCGACCGTAGTAACATTCATCTGCCAGTGGGTATCGATCCCTAGTAACATATATCCGACTGTTTGTATCTGACTATGGCTAACAGTAGGTATCCGACCCTCACACGTATCTAACAAAGGGTATCCTACCCTCACACGTATCTAACAAAGGGTATCCGACCCTCACACGTGTCTAACAAAGGGTATCCGACCCTCACACGTATCTAACAAAGGGTATCCGACCGTAGTTATTTGATTTACATGTACCATAGGTATCTGACTGTATCTGACCGTGGGTATGTTACCATGGATATCTGACTGTGGATATGTTACTATGGATATCTGACCGTGGGTATGTTACCGTGGATATCTGACTGTGTTTATGTTACCGTGGAAATCTGACTGTGGATATGTTACTATGGATAACTGACCGTGGGTATGTTACCGTGGATATCTGACTGTGGATATGTTACCATGGATATCTGACCGTGGGTATGTTACCGTGGATTTCTGACTGTGCTTATGTTACCATGGATATCTGTCTGACTGTATCTGATCGTGGATATGTTACCATGGATATCTGACCGTAGGTACAGTTGTGGGATCGCACAACGTTACACGATGTGCGGTGTGCGCACGATGTGTGATCGGTGTGTGCACGATGGGCGAACGATAAAAAGCTGGACGTTCATTGCTTGCGCACATCTGTGCGCACGATGGACGGACGTTGTGCGATAACAATCATAGTTGGTGTAAATTGAGGAATGCCTTAATAATTCATACGGTTTCGTGTTTAAACATATAAATTTGATGTTTACGTATGTTTCTATATTCTAGCAACATCCATAAACTTATTTTTCTGTTTATACATTCTTATATTTAGAAATTGTGTTTTCTGTGTTTTTAAACAAACTTAATCGACACATGTAAAATTACAACACAATCCCGTATACAGGTAAACATAACCACTTTGTACATGTACATGTACCTGGACCGTAGTTTTCTCCCCGCCTGGGGCACTTACGTAACTCGTCGGGTAAGGCCGGGGGTGTGAACATCCAGGTGAAGGGGAGCTATAGGTAAACGAATGCAAATAACAAATACTATTCATTACGGTCAAACGGTATTGCATATTAGCTCTGTGTGTCAGGCACTGGCCAGGTAAAACTCCGGACACTCATAAACTTGTTAATTTACCTGTTCTGTTACCTTGGTGCCAAACCCATTCTTGACAGCCTAACGGTCGCTGTAATACTGTGTAACACGCATTGTGAAATTGTACAATCTTGATTATTGTGATGAGAAATTCCAGATATATACACAGTGTACATTATCGCATACGAGCCTTCCGTATTTTTGTCATTCCGTAATATGGATGTACAAATGATACCAAATCGCACAGTTGTGCGGAGAGAAGCTCACAACGGGGCGAACGATTGCTAAATCGCAGTACAGTTGTGCGCACCATGTGTGGACGATGTGCGGACGGTGTGTGAACGATGTATGCACGGTATGCGCACGCTATTTTTGGTGCGTTGTGCGGTCCCAAAACAGTATGTTGCCATGGATATCTGACCGTGTGTTGTTACCATGGATATCTAACCGTGGGTATGATACCGTGGATATCTGAATGTGGGTATGTTACCATGGATATCTGACCGTGGGTATCAAACTGTATCTGACTGTGGTTATGTTGCCATGGATATCTGACCGTGGGTATCTGACCGTATCTGACTGTGGGTATGTTACCATGGATATCTGACCGTGGGTATGTTACCATGGATATCTGACCGTGGCTATGTTGCCATGGATATCTGACCGTGGGTACGTTACCATTGATATCTGACCGTTGGTATGTTGCCATGGATATCTGACCGTGGGTATCTGACTGTATCTGACTAGGTATATTACCATGTATATCTGACCGTGGGTATCTAACTGTATCTGACCGTGGGTATGTTACCATGGATATCTGACCGTGGCTATGTTGCCATGGATATCTGACCGTGTGTATGTTACCAAGGATTTCTGACCGTGTGTATGTTACCATTGATATCTGACCGTGGGTGTGTTGCCATGGATATCTGACTGTGTGTATATTTGTTACCATTGATATCTGATCGTGTGGATGTTACCATGGATATCTGACCGTGGGTATTTGACTGTTAGTGAGTATTTACCTGTTGATATGAGGATCTGACTCCGGGTATCCGACAGTTGCGCTATTTGACTACAGTTTTTCTACAGTGGATATCAAACCGTGGATACCTGAGCGCTTGTATCCGACCGTGATTGGATAACCGATTGTACTTGTCCAAACGTGGGTATTTGACAGTGTATTATTGTCATTGGATGTTCGACCGTCACGATGTTGTAAACCACGTTGTGTGATATTCGACTAGAGGCGTCAGACCGACATAGGCTTTCGGACAGTTTTTGTTGGTAAATACAGAGATGTACTTTATAGCACTAGTGTACACAATAATGTTGTAGTAAGATAATCAACTTCCTGCTCATTAATTGATTTATCATGGCTCATTCACGATGACATTTAATAGCACTAGTTTTGGCATTCCAAATTACAATTGCTGTATCGGACACGTCAGATGTCATTCATAATTAGATAACTCTTCCAATTAAATGTCCGATATACAGTTTTATTGTTTTATACTCTAAACATACGTATTTTGTAATTGTCATGATAGTGAGAATGCAAAAAAAACTTACAACAAATGCGCCACGAATCGTACACCGTCATACACTATATGTTGAAGGTACGTGTATGCACCGTTTAAAAGTCGTAATTCTCCATAGTGTCTTAAATTCTACTTCTGTTTGGTCAAATACATTTGTGCAACCTTTGTAGAATAAGAGTTCTTTTTCTTGATAACTGTAATTGAGAACGTTTACCGGGTCCGTGACAGGACCGGACATGGGCAGTGACTCTAGATCTAGTTGACTGGACACGGTCAGTGACTCTACGTACGTATAGACTGGACACGGTCAGTGACTCTATCTACGTCAGGTATATATATATTTATCGTCTCAATGTGCGGTAGTATGTACGTTATACGTACGCGTGTAGCTGACCATATGGTTCCATGTCTAGATGTAAACATGTGACTATAACATATAATAAAATCGTGTTCCCGTGTCCTCACCTAATATAAATCTAATATCCGGGACATTTCCAGGGAATAGGAACAGTTGTAAATATACTTCAACATACCTACACTCCCCCACGAAACATTACTAAATTATGTATACAAATATTTTTGATAGATTATGTGTGTCATCGATAAAAAAAAGTTTATTACTAAATATAACGTGTAGTGAGGTATTACTGATCTCTTTTCTCAGAATTCTAATTTTTATACAGATTTCCCCCTTATTATTACCGAATTTAGCATACATACAAACACAGTTTCCTTTAAAGTCTAAATTAAAATGCTATTTTAAATAAGCACGTTTACAAAAAGAAAATGGATGACATGTTATTCCTATTGCCTGCAACTTCGCGATATAAACATGATTTTCTTGCTAAGCGTATCTATAGGTATGCGACTACAGATTGGAACAAGGCAACCCCCTAGCCTTTAAGCTCTTACTTAATAAAACCATCACCCACACTTTCCCATTTCAACATTGTCTATAATTATATATAACCAGCCGTAATTACTTATCAACTAAATAACTTTAAAAACTGCTAAGCTTTTTCACATTGTTGTTTTATGACACCACCAGTAAATAATTAGGGTGATGATGATGATGATGAGATTATGATCGATATTGATGTTAACGTACACCAGCATCTTATTACATTGTATTACTATGTAGGTCTCCGCGTGCACTGTTGATGTGCGGAACAACCTCCATACGGCTGTAATTAACATAATGACAGTTAACCGTGTGAGCAAGAAATAGATGAACACTGGGACAGTAAACCGCAAAGATATTGTTTTAAAGACGAAAAAAATAGTTGTAAATCACAGTTATAAAAATATATATCATATTACGAGCAGCTGACTGTCAAAAGATTGTAAATCATGTAATATTTTATGGATATTGTCAGAATTAATCTGTATGCATGTATTTGTGTGTACCTGTGACAGCGATAGTATGCAAAGCCTGAGCTGTGTACACGAGGAAACACACGATAAATCATCGTTATTTATTAGACTTGCTATATATAGTAACAAACGAATGCACGCGGGGGGTTTCATAATACATCCATCACTCATGTGTTTACTGAGGCGTGTAACTTGACCTTATGAGGTCAACACAATTATGCGCGCTAAATATTCCCCCAGCGATAACAGTGCGGAGTGATATCGCTAACTGATCTAGCATTACGCCTCCAGTACAGACACACCCACTAACTCAAAGAGACGATTGTTATGTTAATTTTATTTATGTGTTTTACTTGTTAAAGTACAAAAAATGTTTGTTGTTATTTACATGCATAAATCTTATTTTACAGTACAAAAACGTCCGCTGTCTTGCCATGACATGCCTGTGGGCTGATTTACCGTTGGACCTGATATATACGATAAGGAACCGTGGGGAGGGACAACATTGACAGATGACAGTCTCCGCCCCTAGTTACACACCACGCGCTTAACGAATGACGGACCATTCCCTTAGTTACGTATCACATGAAAATGATGCACAACCACGGGGAATTTATACAGTATATATTCTGAACCTGGTTACGAAGGAGTCTCATTCATGAAACTGTTTTTCAGACAACGACAAAACCTGTTTCCGCCATTACTGAACATATGAAACGATTTTTTCACAGTTGAACGTTGACGTGGCATTTGGCATGGTTACACAAATCAATGTTCGTTTCATATTCAGGATGACATAATGCCTATCAAGACCGTGTGGCTAGTTACAGTGGCCGTACAAGTGTTTTCCATGTTCACGTTTTTTAGCCTATGGATTCATCCCGGAAGTGAAGAGTATGTTAAGAAACAGCAAATAGAAACCTTTACTTCGGCATTCTCTAGACGACTCGATCCGACCCGAAATAAAGACAAATACTGTAACCTAGATGTGCCACGTGATCCTTTGGCAACAAAATGTTTGCCGAGCCCAAACATAGACGGTACGTGTTCGATGTACATCAGAGGCAACAAAAAACGCATCCAACCGCTGAAATTTAATCCAACCGGAAGTAGGAAATATCTCAGTTGTAGACTCACAGAACTTTTAAAAAACTGCGATACACTCCGCACTGCTCATGGATATATCACTGAAAGAGTTTCGGCAGAAGAAAATGATTTTCCATTGGCGTTCTCCATCAAGCTACACAGAGACCCGGAACAGGTGGAGCAGTTACTCAGGACTATATATAGACCCCAAAATGTGTATTGTTTGTATGTGGATGGGAAGGCCCACCAAATAGTCTATAACCTGATATTCAATATCAGCAGATGCTTTCCGAACGTGCATGTTATCCGGGACCGCGTCAAGGTCATATACGCGAGTTCCGCCCACGTGGTTAGTGAGATGCAATGCATGCGCAAATGCACAGAATCTAAAGTAAAATGGAAATATTACATAAACCTTACGGGACAGGAGTTTCCACTCAGAACCAATTTGGAAATTGTTAGAATTTTGAAATCTTTAAATGGTGCTAATGACATTGAATCTTACAATCACCCGGTTCTTCAAACCTGGAGATTCTCAAAGAAATATAGACTGACTGAGACCAGTAACGTGGAGACTACTGAGGACAAGGAACCGTTCAGATACAAACTACAGCTCAGTAAAGGTAGTGCGTACGGATCATTCTCGCGAGACTTTGTGAATTTCATTCTTAAAGATAACGTTGCACAGGAATTTATCGCTTGGTTAAACAATACGTATTCACCAGAGGAAAACGTTTGGGCGACATTAAACACGTTACCATGGGCTCCTGGGGGATATGAAATGGAAACACGTCACACTTTTGGTAACTTCCTGTCACGTGCCACTATTTGGGACAATGACAAAGAGTCGTGTGAAGGTCGGTATGTTCGAGGTGTGTGTGTTTTCGGTAGACGAGATTTGACGTGGCTCACGAGCAGACCGCAATTATTTGCAAATAAGTTTAATTACAAAATGGATAATATGGCCATTGACTGTCTTGAAGATATTATTCGCAACAGAACAATATTAAGCAATACAGACAATTTGAATTGGTTTTACTACATAAACCTCCCACATGCCAAGTACTACTCGACTCACAGTAAGGACGCTATGATGCTCGAGTACTCGGGCAAAAAGGAACAGTGGTTACGCGCCCAGGCTTCAAATACAGGAAATGATAACGTTGCGGTGCCAACGAGAACAGAGAAATCCGACACGCTGCACGTGCTTGGTGGTACCATGACAATGTACAAAGTTCACGGAGAGGTGCTGTAACACTAGCATCAAATTTGTTATTACATCTTAATTATGTATCATAAAAAAATATGCTGTTTATCTATTTAATTATTTTTTCATGTTTTATCAAATTGATTCAGATCTTTCACCGACAGCAGTGAAATATACATCTACTGAACCACACGTGAAATCATTGATTTTAAGAATTATTCCAATTTGAACTCATTTCGATGAAGAGTAGTTTGATCATATAGACCACATTAAAACAAGTACGAACAAATCCTTAGGCATTTTTATGTAAAAAGGTTCATTGTCGGTTTCAAACATAAATTGACATCTCGATAATGATGAGTTTACTCAAGCATTTAACGAAATTCACGGTCATTTGTGCGGATACATTATAAGTAGCAAGTGTAAACTTGATCATAGTGATAATAAGGTATGTGCCAGGAAAAGTAAAGGTGATATTGTTATGAATCGTTTGCATAGTCGTATATTTACACAATTCGTCTTGATGTCCCTTCGAAAGCAGAATGAATTACGAAATGGAAGGCAAGTTTACGATTCTGTTTGTTCGTCTCGTACATGTATTATTAACTAGGTCCATAAATCTCCTAACAGAACACTATGTTAATATATAAAAAAAACTCGGACTGTTTTTTGAAAAAATAGACAATAAGAGTAAAGTTATTTAAAACAGAAATGATAAGGTACTTGAGCAAGTATTTGTTGGCTGTTTATCTGTACTATCTATTGACAAGGTTATCCACCATCTCTATATAGTAAACAGCAACGAGGAAGAAAGTTAATGGAACGTAACTATTACGTAACTATTACGTAACTACTCTGTTACAAGTGTCAGTTCACCCATTATATAAACTGTATTATGGATACACGTTTAGTAGCACCTTGCGGAGTTGTGATTGGCTGTAGGTTGAGATTTTCTCCCCAATTTTATCGTCTTCACTGCGACAGATTTCCATCTGCATTGTGACACCACAGGTCAACCTCAGAAAGTGGTATTTTCACGAATATTTGCAGTACATCTTGGTTATGTTATAGATAAAATCTTCCATTCTCTCCCATTTCATATGAGATTTCAGACACTGGTCCCGATATTTGTTGTAGTCCGCCAGTGGCTCGCATAGATTAAATTGGTAAGACCTTTTTTGTTGATACTACGTGTAGTTATTGCGAGTAGACACCTGTAAGATCTGCGCCCTATATAATTTGTAAAATTACTCTAAAGCGCTTTACAACATATGGATAATAGTAATGGGTATAATTGTGAAAACAAAAAACAAAGGCTTACAATCACTTTTATACATTTAAGCAAGTAATGTGCACATTATTGAACAAATAAAAGGGTGGTTTTTACATGACGTCTTTGCAAAGATTCTAAAATGCAGACGTGAAGAGGTGAGTTTTGATGTCCCTCTTGAACTTGGCCAGGGTATTTGACTTTTTAATAGCAGATGGTTAAGCTATTCCACAACGTAGCCGAAACCCTCCCAAAGCATCTGTTTTTGTAGGTCACAGTACGAGATTTTGGGACACACAACAAAGATTCTGACTCCGACCGCAGTGATCGTCACGGCTGATACAGGGTAACAAGCTCCTGTAGGTACTGAGGAGCTGTTCCATTCAGTGCCTTGTATGTGTACACCAGAATTTTGTACTGCGACCTGTATCGTTCAGGTAACCAGTGTAACGACATTAGTAGACATTACACACCTGCATACATCCATGTCTATAGCACACTAAGATACCCTGTCTCCTGCATACAGACACGCAAGCACGCATCCACTACACACATGGAGGCACGTCCTTAAATGACATTAGCTGTTAATAGGACGTTAAACAAAATCAAACCAAACCAAACCAAACGCGGAGAAGATGCTGCTCTGTTAAAAAAATCTCATATGAAATGGAACGAATGTTAGATCTATTTGTAAATGTCAGTCTTTAGAATTTATTTACATTTGTAATTTGAAAACGTTATCTGGTATCACTGATTTGTAAGTTCGATAGCAATTTATGTTACCACTATCGAACATCGTGTAAGCTGTTTCTTAAATATATGGTACCGACATCAACAGAATAGTCACAGGCCATACTTTCTAGTTTGTACTATATTCTGATTAGAATTTCGCATTTAAATATTGATCCTATTATATAATTTGTCACGGTTGCAGTAGACACTTGCCCACAATCAATGCTATAATATTTAGTTGCCAATTCCCAGAGTAAATAGACAATGAACGACATCATCATTGACACAAACACATGGCCAACTCACACGTGCATTATGTACCACATTGGCAACAAGGAAAGACAAATTCCAAACTCAAAGGAGATGTACATTACATAATCTTACTCGGAGATGTAACCTTTTTTCAGGCCACCCAATACAAGGTATACTATTTCGTTCTATATGAATACAAGATATTGTACAACGCGGGTAACAAGAGTTCTTTTTAGCTGGACCTCATCGGTTGTTAGTAGCTTTTGTAATGCATTCAAATATTTTGTTGCATTTTAAGTGGTTAAAATTCTACACCGCCAATATTGTGTACACTAAAGTCATAATAGCCTGATCTTGTGGTACACGATATTCCGTCTTTGCGTATTGCAGAGTTATCTTCAGGTATTGATTGTTACGTCATTGGTTTGTGTGATAAAATAACGTCGTTTTCTCAAAAATTGATGACGTAACTCTCACAAACCAATGACGTAACAATCAATACCTGCTCACAAGAGAAGATAACTCTGCAATTCGCAAAGACGGAATATTGTTCCTGCCGATCCCTTCTTTTATATAGAATGGCCATTTATTTCATGAAATGAATAAATGAATAAAACATGGTTCATATTAAATCTCAATTGCGTTACACTATAACTTACGTTCAACACATCAAATGCTAATACCACCTATGCTAATTTTACTCAATCAAGATCAAGTGCACTTTTCGGGAAGACAATTGTACATTAAAACTGGGTATTGTTAAGTCAAACATGACGGCAGAAAATATCACGAAGAACATTGTAGGTACTGCCAGGATGATAAAATCAAAACCATACATAGGTTTCAATCTGACGCATCAGCTTGCACTCATTGTCTTCATAACATATGGAATAGACAACCGGAACTGGAGAGATAAAAAAAAAAAAAAAAAAACACCAACTGACACTAACAGGAGCTGACGAGATACAAAACCAAACAACCCGATGAAAACCAACCCGGAAACTGGAGGGGAAACAAGGAGCTCTGAAATGGTAAGGACTTTAAGCAATGTCGATGTGGCATACATCATGCATTTGACTTTAACTGATATGACGACGATGTCCACACATGTGTAATAGTATATAAACCTTATGTTGTTTCTGTCCCAATATTCTTACAACGGACGATCGTAGTTTCCTTGGTAGACAATGTCGAAAATAAGCATAAACAGGAGAGCCGAGAATATAAAAAAGAGCCACAACTGTTGCAATGAAAATAACAGATAGCGTTTGGTCTCATCTATGACCCCTACAGACGGGCAAAGTTTAAAAATACTGAATACACCTACATAAGTAGACTGTTACGGACATGTGATGGTATTCCGTAGATAATTTTTGTTCTTTTGTTTGGAAATTGCAAATGGTCCACGTACAGCGTGTTCTAACTAATCTAAGAAAGTGTGTACTGTAGTGTAGGTCAGTAAGACAAGAGTACACGATAAACAAGTCTTAATCCTAGGCCTAGTCCACAATGACATTTAAATCAGGTGAATAGATCTGGTTGACCGCTGTATTTCTGCAATGTAGATTAAAGTCTCTCTAGTATAAAATCCATTACGAGTAGTTGAATTTTGTTTTGAATAAATTAATACTCTAGAATAGTGGCTCAGCTGTGATATGTAAAACCTTTACATGGGGGAAGCTGTACTGTAACTACTACCAATGATAGGAAAACAGCGACGTATCAATAAACCTGTTACCCGAATTCAAGATCCATCTAACTAATGCAATGCGAATAAAACGATATATTAAGATAATCAATGAAGGAAATGTAGATCTAGACCAGGTGTTCTGAAAAGGTTCGTTGTAGTAGAGACGTGTATATTTTAACTTATTACAACCTTACTAATAAATATGGGTTTCTTGTATATGCGATACAACACAATTGCTCTAACCCATATCAGCCCTCACCGTATCTCACCACAAATCCCGTATCAGCCCGCAAAACCCGTATCACACCCCTTTTTATGTTTTTTTTTTTCGTTTTTCAATATTTCAAAAGAAAAACAGATCATAAGATAGTAGATCTATCCGTATTTTATGAGTATGTAATAAACAGAATAAAACATTCCTTTTTCCATATCACACCCAGTATCAACCCTCGACCAATATCAGCCCTCGGACCCTTTTCCCTCGGGAAAAAGACATGTATTATTCTCTAACTCTCTGGTTGTAGATACATTACAATTCTACATGTATTACTGAATAGAGCGTTTTTTGTTCTCGTCGCCAATAAACAAAAATTCTTTCTTTGTAAACGAACTTTCTTTGTAATTTGAAAATATCTGTTTTTCATAACGGTTTTGTCGACGAAGCAGAACACGCTTACCCTCTGGAACATCTAACAGTCTATCCATAAGACATCTTGTGAATTCATATAAACACAAATATTATTTAATGCTCGCTATGTTATATACACGAATAGATCAATGTATAAATGTTATTCGCGAAAAAATATAAATTCAAGAATCCGTATTCTGCTGCGGACGAAACACTAGATAATTCCATAGTAATTTCGTGATAGAGTACCAATTCCTTAATTTTGTATATAACAGTACTGAAGTGGGTTTAGGCTCAGTGATTACGTATATTATACCGACGACCCGATAATTTAGTTGGTTGACGGAGTGAAAAAAGGATAAAATAAAAAGCACACATGCTAATCAAAAGCGGCTTTGAAAAGTTCTAAACATGATTATTAGTTGTTCAGCTATTCAGAAAGCGAGACGTGATTGATTTGAAAGTCCGCTCTACTACACTGACATCATTAACTAACACACGTACAGATATATACATTGTACTAATGCATACTTAAAGCAGTGCCCTTACAATCACGAAAATAAAGCTACCACCATTGCGATAAGACAATCAGGCCTTGTTTCACAGGGTGTATCAGTTATACTGTACGGGCTGTTGTCTCTATCTCTGTAAAAAAATCCCATCGAATTACCATTTATGATTCGTGTTCAATTATAATACGTGTACTTCCTCCTTTACATTATGATTCATGCTATATCAAAGTATATTATGACATATTAATCAGAAACAATTGATCTAGCAGAACGGAATTGTTCATATTTATTGTTTTATAATAAGACTGACTCCACACTCCTCACTCCGGAAATAAAGAATGCACAACGGAGTCAGCGATTACATGCGAACCGTTGTATAGAACTCTATGTAAATAGTTATCGGCTATCTTATCAGACTAATTGCATTATCTGTTATTATCATAGATCTACAGGCCCTTGCCTGTCGGGTGGGTTAAATACTTATTAAAAAGATAAAATCAACATGCCTTCTTCACAATATGTGAATGACATGTGATTTGATAATCACTATTTGTGGTTAAAGTATGTAAGTCCCTCTGGTATGAGTAGTTATAGGATACAACTGATCACGTGTTTATCTCAGTGTTGACTGTACCGAAGTAGTAGCGTTTGTCTATACATAGCGATAGACGGTCTTTGTAAAGCCAATCACATTATAAGGTAAGAGAAGAACAGTTACTGTATACTTGAACTGTATGCTCGATAGATAGTCATAAAGAAGAAATATTTACATTGCATACATACAATTGTACATTTTTATGTCCTTATACTACTGTACAACATATGCATGCATTTATACTAGGGTTGTCAAACCGGTCACATTTTGGTAACCGGTTACTCGAACAATCCTCCGATCGAGTAACCGGTTAATTGGTCAATTTGGTAATCAAACGCTGAACAATGACATTACGCTATATATACAGCAAATGTTCTATTTAAAACGTATTTATACCACAAATATTACTCACGTATTCCAAGCTGAATGCAGGAAGTAGTTTCATATAACCTCAGTAAGTATATTTCATGGACAACAAATGTCGGAATACAGTAACACGGAATTCAATTACAGTTATCTCTATTCGAAATCATACGCGGTAATATTGTTCTAAAGAACAGAATTTGATCGACAAACGTTTTAACACATGTTTGCTCATTCAATGTGTGTACTCGTCAGATTATCTTTACATCTCGCATGTAAAAGCGAGTTCTACCTGTAAAAAAATACATTTCACAACTTTATATTATGGCTCCCTTTTGAAATCTGTTCAGGGTTTTTTAAATGTGGGCGGCATCCCTTTGTCAATCTTTACAATAGAGTACATAAACAAAGAACATGTCAGCCTGAACACTGTTTTTTATTACAAAACTATCCTACTTTTGTCGCAACTTTAGATAAGCCAGGGAAACTTGGGGCTCCCCAAAGGGGTAAACAAATGTCCGACTTTTCGGTCACTGATTTTAGTAACCGGTTTGTGGTCTTCCGACCGAGTACACGGTTAACCGGCTAACCGTTGACAACCCTAATTTGTACGTGGTAAAGCCCGATGTTTTCGCGAATACAAAAATTACGAATATATCTACGTTGTACGGACATGCTGACCACGAAAAGGTAAACAAACAACAAAGTAATCAAAGACATGCTAAACTGAGTACCCAAAATGATTTAATGCTATATATACAGCAGTGTGTCTGTATTGACGATCATGACGTACACATTGATAGTATGCTACACACTGTGTTCTATGTAAATTCACAGGGATAATTTATCTTCATATCAAGATTCTAATTTATCTATAATAACTGTTATATGTAAATGTCGCTTTTTCTCTTGCATATTGAACAGGATGGTACTTGGTGTTTAAGTCTTAGATAGTTTGGTATGATTTGTTTAAGGTAGTGTCACGATTCTTCAATATGTTGTTTGTTTTTGTAGATTAGTCTAATTTCTACTGTAAAACTTTTCTAAAATGTCTAAAGACTTTGATCGGTAAACAGTCACAATATCATAATATCTTTTATTGTACAATGTTTAAAGCCCTTTCCCCCAACCTTTGACTGCATTGTCTAGCGTTTTACATAATCAACCCCAAGGGTTGATAGAGTGCACACAGAGAGAAACAATACTATGACGTCAAGAAAACAAATACATGTGACGTCGTCATTAGCTCTTGACAGGAAAGTCCGTGTGCAAATCAGGAGAACAATCAGATTATAAAAGACTTCTGTTCTTAACCAGTATTGGAATGATAGGAGAAAACATAATCACCCCCTAACTTGAGGGTGTGAGAGTGATATTTGGATATTTCTCTGTCACTCCTTAAAGTAACGGTAAGATTATATTATTCCTATTGTCGATGATATGGCATAACAAAAAATTGTCAATTTTCACTTTATAGTGTACACATGGCAAAGGCAAAAGTAGCACCAGCAACGGAGGAAATGCAAGTTGCCGAGGAAGATCAACTTGAGGATTCTGAACATGAGGATGACACTACAAACCGTACACATTTAATAAAGAAAAGGCCAAATCCTTTAAAAAAGTATTACCCAAACAGAAAAGTTAAACAGGAGGTTAACAAGCTTAAACAGAAAGTAGAAAACCTAAGATCTGATAAAATGATTTATAAAAACAATGTAAAATGGATTTTAAGAAGCATCGGAAATCATACTATCGCCCATTCAGTCGTCATTGGGGATGGTAATGTTCTTGTAGACAACGGTGAAGGAAATCACGAAGACATGAAGGAAATAATGGCCAAACATATTAAGAAGGTCACCTGTGAACATGCCTCCATTTCAAAGGAGTTGGCGACGTTGAAGGTAACACATTGTAGACATTGTAAAAGACTAAATCGCACCTGTGCGCAGTTGATCATAGGTGACTAGCGAAATCAATGATTAGCAGATTTTTTTTTTTTTTTTTTTTTTTTTTTTTATTGTATATAGATGACATTATTAGGATTTGAAAAATGCCGTAAAACAGTGATTTAGCCGACCACCTTCGGAACAAATGGGTCCTGAAGATTCAATGTATATTGTTTGATATCAGAATTATCCTTTCAAAGAACTATTGCCTTGAAATTATCTGAATCTTAATTAGAATATGCCATCAAACAGTGGATTATATAGAACAAATTAGATGTTCCTAATTACTAATAAACCGAAAAGGTTCGTGAAATGCGCTTCTTCGTTTTTGTAATCATACAAATGTATAGGTGTTTTCATTTGCAATTTGTACCTATTAAGTTTATATCTAAATCGATGTCGAAGTGTAAGTAAATACATTTGATACCAACCGTGCGATCAATAAAAACTACATGTATACTTTTACTGTAAAACATACTTAGATCACCTTATTTTACACCAAATGCACCGTTTAACCTTTAATTTCGGTTAAGTTGCTGCAAAGTGCGTCATATTTTCGTGTGTCTTGATTTTGCTGTAATCGCGGTCAAGCTCCATAGCGAGAAATTTAACACTGCGTGATAATTGGAATTTTTGTATTATTATTTCGAGCATGTTCGAACGTTCACGCCTCGAAATGCTGAAATGGGCGGACCGCCAGATGCGGTATTGGTGTTCCGTGAAATTTAATCCACGCTAAACAGTGTTCGGTGTCGCGAAATGACATTGTGACAATCATGCACTATACATGCCAAGTATTTCCCATTTTGAATATAAGACAAACAAATTATCCGTCGTCAGCGAAGTCAGTATGTGGTCTGCTGTTTTATGTAATTCAAAACGCATTATGATTTGCATTTGTGTATTTCAGGCGTCAAATTACCAAGTATAAAATAGCATAATAATCAAACGCATAACACAAAAAATTAGCAGTCAGTATACTTTACCCACATTTTAATTTGGCAGGGTTTGAACTAAATATGTAAAGGAAATAGAAATGAGTATGCGTGATGTCGCTTGTCAATTTACAAAGGTATAACGTATTGATCTGTATAAAATGGTTGTGTTATGAAGATGAACTAAACAATAAATAATGCATTTTACACGATATAATTTGTTCTCCAATGTTTGAAGTTTTTGTTATGCCTTTGTATTTAATGTGTTATACGTTATACTGTTATAATGTATTATATAGTTAATACTAAATTGTTTTTCTTAAAGAATATTATCCAAATATCTTCAACGAGTCTTCACCTTATGAGTAAGAAAAGCGACAAAAAACTCGAGTCAGTACTGGAATTACTGGAGATGACACTGCAGTCTGATTATGATTTTGCCATTAAAATCGATAGAGCTCTTGTGGGGATACAGAAATGGTCTGAGGACAGCAAGCGCACTTTACATGATATGTACAAGGCAACAAGCCACCAAGCCCCAAAGGAAGCTCTCTCTACGATACAGTTTGTCGCATCAAAATGTGGTAGGCTTTTTATTTATGAAGCAAAACATGTGGTACATGTAGTACATTAGCTGAAATAAAACAAACCATAGAACATAACGACGACTTCCATCTGTTTGTTTTACCTGTATTTATTAGAATTTATCAAAGACAAACACGCTGCTGCTAGTCAAACCTATTGATACAAACTGTAGTTTCCGTTCTGCCATTTCGCTTGCAGTGGGTGTCCATTCACGTGAAACGTTAAAAAAGCTATTAGACATTGATCGTCATGCCATGGAAGATGATCCAACTGACCAAAACATGTGCTTCCGAGGATTGATATTTTGGAGACAAAAAGACCCAGAGAATCACAACGCCAAACAGCTTCAGAAATTGTTAAAGGATTTGGACAAGATCACACTAGAAGGTTTGTATGTGTACTGTACCGTTTACCACAACAGGTGCGTTTTTAACACGAGACAAACATATTTGTTTAGGCTTTGCGCGCGACGAATTTGGTTTTATTCATTTTACGTAGCTTAAAATTTCTCGGGGATTCATCATCGACTCCTGCCTTATTCTAATTGCGCGTGTTCCTTGTGTTAAGCCAGTGCTACCTTGTCAGTGATACTGCTACAAGGTAGAGGACCATAGCTGTTGCCATATCAACATGGCCTTAAGAAATTTCTATATATTTTCTTTATAGTTTTCTATATGATTGTTCAGTTTCTGATGTTGTCTAATGAAATAATATAAAGGTTGAACAAATCACATGACTCGCATTTTACAACAATATTGCCATAATGTCAGCTCTTCACACTTTTGTCACTTCTTTAAAATAACACTCGTAATTAGCAAGGAGAACGACCAATTATAAATTTCATGTTGGTAAAGAATAATTTAATTTTGAAGTATGTTATGGTTTAATTGAACAAGAACAATACTAACAAACGCTTGAGGCCTGATTGCTATCTATTCAACTTGACTTCCATTTTTGTTAGTGTTTCATCAACAAAAAGTCATTGAATGGTTTGTAAATACATTGAACAAGATTATATAACAAAGCCGTAAAATCAACGTACAATGTTTTATAGATAGGGAGCAAGTATCAGAATCTGTGCTGAAGTTGAACAATGCTGATCTGAACATGATGAATGGAGTAGGGGAACCGATTTTCATCAGAATGTACAGGAATGTTGAGGAAACCCTGGCTCATGTTACCAGCATCTCACAAAAACTGGCTACTATAGAACAACGCGAGATTTTAGACATGATCCGTCTAGAGACCAATCATACGCCGAGGTGCGCAGACGTGTCCGATCGCTGTCAGTCGGCCCATCAAACCTAGCAAAGAAAAGCAGAACGGAAAAATAGGGATTGATGGCAAACGAAACACAACGGGCGTTTAAAGTATCCTGAATTTCTTACATACGACTCTTGTTTATCCCTGGCTTTTGCGAAAGACATCATGATGGGTGCCATGATTGATCTAAAATCATATGTTTCATTTTTTATTGGGGTTCATAGAATTCTTCCTAATGATTTCAAATCTGTATTGCTGCTGTTGTTGTCAAGTCTTATCGAGTGAGTTCCGTTCAGCTCTCATGTGTTGACGTTGACTCTAGTGTTTATATTGTCATAATAAACAGTATTATACAGGTCCTATTTACTGTGCATGCATATATATATACAGATTGTATAGACAGTTCAAAGACGATATTATGTTTTTGTTCACGGTGTTAAATTCAATACATTTAGTTTAATTCTTCAATCATTTCTCTTTGTGGTCCTATGGGAGGCAACTCCTACAACGATGATGGGACTAAAAGATGGCAATATACACAAACCAGTAGAGGTGATGAACATATATTGTACATGAATGAAATATATATATAAAATTATTACTAAACAACGAAAATGCATGAAATACGCTAATCAATGAAAAGAGTGTGGTAGTGTTTCGATAGTGCGTTGTGCTAGTGCTATTTAAACAGAGTATCGACTATAAAGTCCGTATTGTATCTATATTAATTTCTATCTGTTTTGGATGAACGTGTTTTTGGTATTTTGTGTGTCATATCAGAAAAAAACCCATGAAAGTTGTTTTTTCGTAAATCGCTTGAGTTGCTAAAGAGAGATTTGTCATATGTACACTCAATTAAAAATCAACGTACTATACATGTGATTGTATTATGAAGTAATGTTCTAATGAATAATTAGTTGGGACAGTGTGTTGTCGCGTGCTGGTTGGCAAACAAAGTCGTACTTTAAAATTTTAACAAACACTTCAATTTTATTCCGCAATTCAGTATCAGTACAATTGCGTATGCTATGTCTATAGGGTGATTTAAGTTTACCAATAGAAATCTGAGCTGAAAGTTAAACTTGAAATTGTTTCGATTTTTCCACGGATCAAATTTCGCGCATGGATAAATACAGTGAACACCGTAATCCGACCTTGCCTTCCACTAGGAAGTTATTTGTGAAAGTTTAATGAGATGAGAGAAAAGTTCGAATTTGTGAAGAATCCAGGCGTGAATTTATTTGTTGATTGTATGGGAACCTGACTATAGTCGGTAGATTCTATAACAGCCTCGTTGAAACCGTGGCTGATAGACGCGTGATACTGAATCCATTTGTCCTTTGACAATAAAACTTATTGAAATTGAAGTGAGTGATCTTGCGACACAGCACAGGATTTCGATACAAATGTCCGAAATACATATATGCCTTGTGTATGTTTATGTGTGCTGTGACTCATATCAGTAGGTCTATAGCATATGTGTATTTCAGACATTTGTAACGAACTCCTGTGGATCAGTGTAGTGTAACCGATAATATTTCGGATAAATTGCACGAGTGTTAAATTGTTTCCATTGCCGGCATTGGTTATTTCAACCGATGTGCATTTTGTACGATAGTGCAGAGCTCTTGTTTTGTTGTAATAAAATAATTTCTTTTTGATATTTCCCTTTTTTTTTAAACATTAACAATATCATTAGCATGTCTCACAATACCAAGCGATATTACAGCAGCCGTCATGTTGTTTTTTTTACATTGGATATTGTAGTTCCGGTCGGTGTTGTATAAATACGCTAAGAATTAGGTCTCGTGGTGCATGGTATTTAAAGTCCCATCAACTACAAAGCTTTCAAATAGCCTATATAGTGACAATGCCATGCAAATGTAAATATTAAGAGTTATTGTATTTATGATTTTAAACAATATTACTTGAGATTTTGATGTTAACCTGATGTCATTAAGTTAGTTCCCTGTAACATTCAAAATTGTACTAATACATTGTTTTGGTTATTCTTACCATGACATGTACTGAATATATTATGTCATATACGTGAAAGTTTATGTATGACGACATCATGCCAGTGGATCAGGAACTCATTGACGTTACTGTTTAGTATATCAACATCAGTTCATCAGTTAGTAGTTACTTGCCCGATATTATAAACCGTACATGTATTTACCATGGTGTGTGATTCATTCTGGATATTGTGCTGTCTTGTGCCTTCATATACATGTATGTAAGTCAGGATGAAAGTTATAGACGAACCTTATGTTTTTGTTATCGATGTTTAGCCTTTTTCTAAAGATTTTAAACTAACGGCTATTTACACTTACGACTAATTACCTGTGGACTTAGAAATAAGAAAAAAACTTAACTTACTTAAATCAAGAGTATTTTGTCCTTGAACGGTGATCTAAAATCTTTGTAAATATTAGCAATGATTAAGTTCTGTCAGCGATGGTCGTGTGTATCTTCCTCCCTACTTGTACAATGATATAGCAAAACACATATCATAATAAACGTTTGATCCGACTGAAATTGTGTTGACCCAGGGTGTTGAAATCTACAGTTTGTCAATCGATATATTCCGTTTTGAAGACATATGATGACATAGGACCATCATAATGTGGGATTGCTATTCAATATCAACGATTTTATGATGAACGAGCAGATAACATGGACGATAAAGGTAAACTTCCTTATTCGTTGAGGAAAGATAGGGGAAAGGCATTATACCCATGAACGCGAGAGTTACAAAATATATTTTTGATATTAATGCTTGTTAGAATATTGTATTGTGGCATAATTATGTCTCCCCTTCGAATGAAAGGAGACATATTGTATTAGTACTGGTTCGTCTTCTTCTTCTTCTTCCTCTGGTTCTTCTAATCGAACTTGTCCGGGCCATAACTTTAAAACCATTAAAGAGATCTTAATGAAACTTTAGTTATACATGCATCACCCACAGGAGGTGTGCAGTGCACTGGAATTAGGTCACTGTGACCTTCATCTCAAGGTCAAAGGTCAAATAAGTGCACATTTTTTGTAAATTCTTGTCCGGCCCGTAAATTTCAAACCGTTAAAGATATCTTGATCAAGCTTGAACGATATCTGCATCACCCACAGAAGGTGTGCAGTGCAATATAATTAGATATCATGCTTCACTATATCAAGAGTTATGGCCCTTTGTTTTATTTTGATGCAGAAGTTTGTCCGGAGCATACATTCCATGTTATTCAACCTAAGTTGACCATACTTATCATATTTATGTATATTGGAAAGGCGGAATCTCTCACACTGAAATCAGGTCTCGTGCCCCACTATATACAGAGTTATGGCCCTTTGTTTAATTTTAATACCGAAGTTTGTCCACAGCATAATTTCCATGTTATTTCACATACGTTGACCAAACTTTCTAAACTTTTAATGTATCTTGGGAAATGGGGATGTCGCATTCTAAATTCGGGTCACGTGCCCCACTATATAAAGCAATATGGAACTTTGTTAACTTTTTATACCGGAGTTTTTCTATTGGCTAATAAGGGGAGACATATGTTTTTGACCATGATTAAAACGTGCTATTTTCGTCAAAAGCTTACAATGGGAGTTAACTTGTGACTTATGATCTGAACCCTGTCGCACTAACGCAGATTATTCGGAGCATACCTACCCACCTTCTTGAAACAATATATGAGAAACAACAGTAGCCAAGCTTATCTCTCTGAGTGCCTTATATGGACAAGGTGCTCACACAGGTTTATTATGCCCTTTTGATTATATATACATTAATGATGATACTTAACAGCATGTCGTATCTGAACATGCCATTTAGAGTAATTTTTCGTGTCAAACATCTCCACAATTATGGTTATCTCCCCTTTACTAGTGTTAATAGAAAGAGTGATACGCCCAGATAACAGATATGCTGTATATAGTATTTCGGATATATCTTCGGAAACAATTAATTGTACAAACAATATAGTAAAACGAATAATTTTCGCGCAGTGTTCATTTCACCCTTCACATGTTATTAATATGTATTTTATGTCATGTACTTAGTTTTGCTTTCATGATAAATATACCCTCGGTACGGAGGGCATAAAAGGGTTAACTAAAGTTTGCCGGTATGAGAGTGCGACTTAATTCGTCAGTGGACTTAATAGTCTCTGAAAGCTATTTTATCGACAGGTAGATCCTGACCAGGATGTTGTTACAGTAACATTATTACATACATGGATTATGTATATGGGAAGTGGAAAATGTGATCAATGGTATCCGGTCAAAGTGTTTATCCTGTATGTATTGTGATATGTAATGAACGGGGAATGTATATCCTGTATGTATTGTGATATGTAATGAACGGGGAGAGTTGTTTTGTTTATATTGTCTAAGTGTTTATCCTGTATGTATTGTGATATGTAATACATGGGGAGTGTTGTTTTGTTTATATTGTCTAAGTGTATATCCTGTATGTATTGTGATATGTAATACACGGGGAGTGTTGTTTCGTTTATATTGTCTAAATGTTTATCCTGTATGTATTGTGATATGTAATGCACGGGAGTGTTGTTTTGTTTATATTGTCTACGTGTTTATTCTGTATGTATTGTGATATGTAATACACGGGCGTGTTGTTTTGTTTATATTGTCTAAGTGTATATCCTGTATGTATTGTGATATATAATACACGGGAGTGTTGTTTTGTTTATATTGCCTAAGTGTTTATCCTGTATGTATTGTGATATATAATACACGGGAGTGTTGTTTTGTTTATATTGTCTACGTGTTTATTCTGTATGTATTGTGATATGTAATACACGGGTAGTGTCGTTTTGTTTATATTGTCTAAGTGTTTATCCTGTATGTATTGAGATATGGAATACATGGGGAGTGTTGTTTTGTTTATATTGTCTACGTGTTTATTCTGTATGTATTGTGATATGTAATACACGATGTAATACACGGAGAGTGTTGTTTTGTTTATATGGTCTAAGGTGTTTATCCTGTATGTATTGTGCTATGTAATACACGGGGAGTGTTGTTTT